GGATGCCTGGTCGGCGGGAACCCGGCACGGAACCCTCCGGCGTTGTAGGCGGGTGTGGGAAGCGTTCCCCGTTCTCCTTTTATTTTATTTTGATCGGTCTCCTCGACGCTCTTTCTCGTTTGGTGCGGTAGCTGGTCTTTCTTTCTATCATTTTGTTTCTCTTCCGAGTGGTTTTTGTACCCTATTTTTTTCTGTTTCTTCGTGGGGTCGTTCGTGTATGCCGGGTTTTGAGACCACGGGCTCCCAATCTTTCTTTTTTAGTCTAGAGCTAATGTGAGAAACAACAACAACAACAACAACAACCTTCATTGCCTAAGTTCGTGTGCAATAATAATAATAGTACGCCACCAACGGCCTTTGGTTGGTGGTAAACGACCCACAGCCCACGCGACGGTGTCACCGGAACGTCCCACGCTCCAGCTTTCTGGCCCAAATCTCAAGGAGACGACGCCCTGAAAGTTTCGCTGGCCTCTACGAGTGAGTACAGGTTGGATTGCAAAACCTCTATCTACGACAAAACAAAGAAACCACTAATAACCGTTCTTATAAGAAAAAAAACGTGCACCTGGAAAACTGTACTACTACAGCCGTACATGGGTAGGTAACGTACATAGTCCACTTACAGCAGTAGCTATGCTATATATATGTGTAGACTTTCTTCTGCCTCGTCTTTCGACGCACACCACATGGACACAAGTACAAATCTGAGTGAAACCACTGGTGACGAAACCTTGCATATTCCCTCGGGTATGCCGATGAGACTCGGGCATGTCATCATGCTGCTACGAGTTTTCCAACGGTCACACCACACCGAGTTCTTCGAAAAAAAAGGCAACAACAGTTGAGGGTACTAGCATCTCTTCGTCGACGCCAAAGATGTTGCTAGTCCCTGTCGGAGGCAGCGGCCAGTACTCTTGCAGTATTCTCCTACTACCAAGGGTGGCTATTTCCTATCGTGAGATAGATGTAGGAGAGGAAGGTAGAAAAGAGTGACCAGAGGGTCGAGAGAGGCGAGCCGGAGGCTCCCCATCTCTTCCCTCGGCAAGCGGTCGTAGACTTCGGAAGAGACACATCTCCTCAGTGCTTTACTCGCCGCTTCTCCCGATGGCAAGTTAACCCGAGGAATCATATCTTCCTACACTTCATATGTGCACAAAAAAAACTTTTGCTTAGACATGGGTTGTAGTGAAGGGGGGGGTCTTTCTGGCGAGCAGGGCTAGACTCACCCTCAAGGGAGGACCGAAACCTTCTTGCTGCTGCGCATATCCGCCGCGAGGCATGCGCGTGGTGGTGTAGTTGGGTCGGCACTGATGGGGTCAGGCGAAAAAATGTAGATGCGCGGGCCTCTGGCCGTCGGCGTAGGCAGCGATGCCCATCTCATTTTTTGTG